CCACACGCTCAGGCTCAGCACCCCCAGACTCAGCACCCCTAGGCTCAGCACCCCTAGGCTCCGCACGCTCAGGCTCAGCACCCCCAGATGCAGCACCCCCAGGCTCAGCACCCCCAGAGACAGCACCCCGAGCAGGACCACCCCCAGCAGGACCTGAGTCACCAGTGACCTCAACAGGCTCAGGCACAGGAGGGTCTACCTGAGAAACACCTGAAGGAGCAGGACCTGGCGCGGGGAGGGGGTCTACCTGGGGAGGACCTGGAGCGAGAAAGAGCGGAGGGGGGGGGGCGAGCGGCAGTGCGGTAGGGAAAGAGACGGTAAGAAGGGACCGACTCGTCGAACGTGACGTCCTGAGACGCAAAGACAAGGCGCAAAGCAGGTGGGGTCGTAAAACTGCCAGCCAGGCGCGTCAGGAGGAAAACCAAGGAAGACGCAGGGAATGGCGCGAGCGGAGAGCTTGTCCGCGGTGGTATCGCGGACAAAGGCACGAGCACCCCAGACCCGGAAACGCGACGCATCGCCAACCTCCCTCGTCCACAGCAGTGTGGGCGAGGTCTCCGGCAAGGAGACACAGGGCCAGAGGTTGAGCTGATGCGCGGCGTACCGGACCGCAAACGGCCACAGAAAATGGGGGGCAGCTGCATGGATCAAGGAGGTACGAGCGACCTCCATGACTAAGCCAATGCGGCGCTCAGCAACCCCATTCTGCTGCGGAGAGTCCGGAAGTGTAAACGACTGGCGGATGCCGTGCTCCTCACAGAAAGCTCGCAAGAGGTCGGAGGTGAACTCACCACCTCTGTCAGAGTGCAGACGCAGGACAGGAAAGTCCGACTGGAACCGCTCGCGGAGCTGGAGACGAACAGCGCGGATCCAGGGGATCAGAACATCAGGGACCTGACCCTTGCTGCGCAAGGGGAAGACCGTGGTGTAACGCGTGTAGTCGTCGACGACCAGCAGGAAGTACCGCTCGCGGCCCTGCCCCTGGACGCGGGCTGGGCCCCACACGTCCAGGTGGAGAGTCTGCAGTGGAGCCTCTGTGGGAGGGAACGAGGAGGAGTGAGGAGCGGCGCGCTGCCGCCCCTCGACACAAGGAATGCAGGGCGGCGCAGGCGAGGGAGGGAGGGAGGGCAGAGACCTGGGAAGACCAGAGACCAGAAGGCGAGAGTGCATGCCACGAAGGCGAGGCAGGGAGGGGTGACCAAGGCGGTGGTGCCAAAGGAGAGTCTGGTGCGACAGGCGGCGACACTCACACTGGGTAGCTACTAGAGCGGACGCGTACAGCTGAGGAGACAAAGGGGTGTAGCGCGACACAGTGGTGAGGGTGTACAGACTGGACCCAGGCGCACGTGTGAACGTGGCCAGGTGGCGGCCAGTCCGAGAGCACGTGCAGATCGCCACACGCTGTCCTCCAGGAGTAAAGGTGTCAACCCAATGATCCTGAAGGACGGCGTTGCTCACCAGGTTTGTAGAGAACGAGGGGAGGTGGAGACCAGACAGCTCACCGGACGGTACCGCGGCACACGGAAGCACAGTAGTGGACCGTGCAAGCACTGGGCCCCCAGAGGGGTCAGCCAGTGAGACAGGGACAGGTGCAGGGAGGGGAGTGACTGTGGTACTGTCGCGAAAGAAACAGCGGGAAGCACCAGAGTCAAGTGTAAAGGTGTGCAAGGCCTCAGCAGGCGCAGTACCAGAGAGAGCAGACTCACTAGCACCTAGAGCAGCAGCCGCTATACCAGGATCAGGGGGCACACACAGGTAACAGTCACCCTCAAAAGTACCAGTCAGAGCATACATGGCAGTAAGGATAGTGTCATAGTCTAGAGCAAAGACATCCACCTTGGTGCGCAGCAGCTCTAGCCAGTGGGGGAGCTCAGCCTCGTCGCCAAACACTGCACGCCAGCCGTCACTCAGATGGACGAAGCAGCGAGCCTGTGTGTGAGAGAGCGTCCCGCAAGTCTGACCAGCCCGATCACCTGTGCGAATGACGTACGGGCAGCGGGCAGTACTCCTACACCCCCCACTCTGAGCGTACCACTCATGAAGCTGCTGGCGCGTAAGGGTCTCGCTCGGACGCCGCTGCAGCTGCATTTGGCCACCGCCAGGAACTCCTCACTGACCAGCTCCACCTAGACTGCCACGACGGCCGCCACTAGAACACCACCTGGCGTACCACTCACGAAGCTGCTGGGGCGTAAGGGTCTCGCGCGGACGCCGCTGCAGCTGCATCTGGCCACCGCCAGACACTCCCCACCGAACAGCTCCACAGCGACTGCTACTACGGCCGCCACCACTCCCACTGCCGCCACCGCCGCCGTCACCATTCTCACCACTACTACGAAGTGAAGTCATAGCGGGCAAGCAAGGAGGCGCGCGACCAGTAGGGCAGTACGGAGGGAGGGCAGTAGCACGAGCAGCAGCAGTAGAAGTAAGAGCAGCAGAGCGGCTCGGTGAGGCTGGGCTGCAGCACCTCCAGCACTCCTAGCAGCACCTCCACCAGCAGCAGTAGTAGCACGAGCAGCAGGGCGGATCGGGATGGGCAAGGCGGCTCGGGCTGGGTGGCGCGGCTCGGCCTGGGCGGCGCGGGCAGCAGGGCGCGCGCTGTGAAGGGCAACAGGGCGCGACGCGCGGGCTGCAGCAGGGCGCGACGCGCGGGGCAGCAGGGCGCGACGCGCGATGCGCGGGCTGCAAGGCGGACGGGCGACGCGACGGGCAGGCAGCCCGTACGGGCGACGCGACAGGCAGGCAGGGCGGACGGGCGACGCGACGGGCTGGGACAGCCCGTACGGGCGACGCGACAGGCAGGCAGGGCGGACGGGCGACGCGACGGGCTGGGACAGCCCGCACGGGCAACGCAACGGGCAGGCAGGGCGGACGGGCGACGCGACGGGCTGGAGCAGCCCGCACGAGCGACGCGATGGGCACGGGCAGGGCAGACGGGCGACGCGATGGGCTGCAGGGGCGCACGACGCGACGGGCAGCCGGGGCGGGCGACGCGAGGCAGGGCAGGGCGTGCGCGGGGCAGCGCGACGCGGGCCAGGGCAGGGCGTGTGCGGAGCAGCGCAACGCGGGGCAGGGCAGTGCGCGCGTGGGGTAGCGCGACGCGGGGCAGGGCAGGGCGTGCGCGGGGCGGCGCAGGGCGTGCGCGGGGCAGCGCTGGGCGTGCGCGAGGCAGCGCAACACGTCACAGTCTAGGCAAGGCACAGTCACAGTCACAGCAGGGCGCGCACACGCTGCGGAGCGCAGGTCAAAACATGGGGTAGCGGTAGGTGGGTTTGAAAAAAAAAAAAAAACGGTCCTACGGACCTACTGCTCTGAAACCATGTCAGAAGTCTAGGCAGGAATGAATGAACTATGAAAAAGGTGGGTACAAATAGAAACCCTAACATTGGGCTGTACCCCATATGGGCTACCCCACTACAGCCTAGAGATTATACTACAGCATACATATATATATAGTTTGACAAGGAGCACTGGACAACCGCGCAGAGAGTACTGCATTACTTGTGCAGTACATCAAGCATGGGGCTTGTGCTTGGAAGACGGGGTCCAGTTGTGCTCGGTGGGCACTCAGACGCTTCTTGGGCGGACGAACAGGCGACTCAGCGGTCGTTCGAGGGTTACACTAACAGTGTCGGCACTGGTTCTGTCTCCTGGAGGTCCACCCGCTCGTCTTCTGTTCTCAGCTCCAGTTGTGAGGCTGAGATCTATACAGGAGTTACGCTGGCTGACCTACTTGCTGACCGACTTGGGTGAGCGGCCTCGTTCTCCTCCGGTCCTGTACGTCGCCAACAATGTCATCAGAATGAAGCACATCGCTCTGCGTTACTTCCTCGCTCGAGAGCTGCAGCAGCGTGGTCAGCTTTGCCTTGCTTACGTGGCCTTACAGACCAACACAACTGATAACTTCACCAAGGCCCTAGGGTCTGGTGATCATCAACGTTTCTGTACTGCTCTGGGTCTTGTGCCTACTCTGCCTCACTTAGTTACCTCTTGACTTTGCCGTGTACTGTGATAAATATATTTGCCTGTATGCTTATTTTTGTTAGGTTGTGATCACTGTACTGCATGCAAACTGGCCTTGTGGCCATTTACTTGTGCTCGGACTGTGTAGTGACTTTGTGATCCACCCTCAGCTTTGCTTTGTTGCTTCTCTTGACTGGTCTTGTTACCGCTTGGTATTCGTGCTTGTTGTCCCCCACTTCGCCTATGGGGGTGTGTCAAACATTATATACATCTGTAGGCTACATTGGGGTACTCACTAGAGAGTATAACCCTTTAGGGTTTCTACTTGTACTCTTATTGCCTTAGTCAACCACCACAGTCTAACTTCCCAACACTTCGCTCTGAACCGCTCTTTCACCGAATTGAACGGTGGTGATACATAAAACGTAAGCACAAGAAGAGTGACCCGCTCTTGCCAAGCCAAGCTAAAAAGACGCCGCCCAACCGATAGCGGTGTCCCCACGATGCAGCTGAGTTACATGTTATAGTGAATCTGTATATCTATACTCTAATACAGCGCATGCAACTTTTTGTCTCAAATTTCTTATGATAGAGTGCTTGCTTTAGCAACATCCGGTGCATCACACCAAGGGCGGAAAAAAAACAGTGACCTGATTGTCAATAAATGCAACCACTCGCACAAAATTGCTTAGCAACAATATTCAACTCTATTGAACACAAGCAACAGGTTGATTATACTCAGCCGATGCCAGCAGGGAAAACAGGGGAATGTACAACTCTTACACACACACAACTCCCTAACTGCATAGCACAAGTTGCTATCTGTACACTCAGGGCAACCCATGGCAACAACAGGCTGCAACCACCAACACAGAAAAGAGCAGAGCAATGTAAGAGTACACGCAGACTACATGACATCTGTTTCTGGTACATACTGCCTTGCATCCTCCTGCAACCACTGCTGCTGCCGCTGCCTCCGCTGCCACCGCTACCACCACTGCTGCCTCCGCCGCCAAAGTATATATTATTCTTTCCATTCATCCTCCAATCATGGCGACTGGGACTGCAGCCACTGTTGCCTCCACCCTTGCTACAAATGGGACTGCTGCTGTAACCCATATCGCTGCCAGCACTCTGGCCACATCGGAATTGACTGCCACTGCACGTGACACTGCAGCTACCACAACTGTCATCGCCACCAGTGTCACCACTGCCAGTGCCAGCACCATTGTCGCCACTTAAGATAGTGTCACCAACCCAACTACAGCCACTGCTACAGTCAGCCGTGCAACACTCAATGTTGTCAGAGTTAGCAGTATTAGTGTCAATGGTGCCACCATTACGGGTGCCACAGTCAGTGGCGCTACAGTCCACAGTATCACTGTATGCAGTGTGACTGTCAGCGATGCTACCGTCAATGGCAGTACAGTCCGTGCAGGTGCTATAATCAAGAGTACAGTCAGTGGAGCTACAATCAACCGTGCTACAGTGAATGGCGCTTGTATTAACCGTGCTACAGTGAACGGCGCTTGTATCAACCGTGCTACAGTGAACGGCGCTTGTATCAACCGTGCTACAGTGAACGGCGCTTGTATCAACCGTGCTACAGTGAATGGCGCTTGTATCAACCGTGCTACAGTGAACGGCGCTTGTATCAACCGTGCTACTGTGAACGGCGCTTGTATCAACAGTGCTACTGTGAACGACGCTTGTATCAACCGTGATACAGTGAACGGCGCTTGTATCAACCGTGCTACAGTGAACGGCGCTTGTATCAACCGTGCTACAGTGAACGGTTGGACCGATAACCCCACAGCAGGCAGCACTCTGAGCACCACGTCGTGAGTCCAAGCCTCCAATCTCTCTGCACCTTGCTGCACTGCCTTCCTGCACTGACGCTTTCGCACATTCCTGCTTACCTAGAACCTCCCCTCCCACTACTGCCCCACTATGCTGTGTGCTGTGCTCCGGCGGTTCAAGATGGCAAGGCAAGGAGGCGTGGCACGCCGCAATGCTGATGCTTCTCCCACTCCTACCCTCCCTGGTCCCGTGTGCCTGCGCCACCTCTGATGTATTCTCACTCCTGCTTGCACTCTCACCCACCTTCTCCTGTGCAGCTAGCCTGCCAACATCATCAACACTACTGCTCTGACAGCAAGTACGGGGACTGCTTGCCTGGCACACAGGGCTGCGCTCCTCTCGCCCCACCACATGCTGCCCATCCGCCCCACCACATGGTGCCCATCCGCCCCACCACATGCTGCCCATCCGCCCCTTCCTCTGAATGGTTATCCACACATGCCTTTTGCACATGGACCACTCCACCACTCACCTTGCACTCTGCTGCAAGACTCTTCCCATTCCTGCAAGCACCCGTCCCGCTGCTGCTGTTCTTCACCCGCTCCATCTCTTGGCTCCCACACTCTCCTCCACACGCCGCCCTAACCCACAGGTGTTTCAGCACCTCATGAGCCTTGAGCCTTCGCCCAGGATCCGTTACAAGCAGACACCTGCTGCTTAGCCTCCCTCGAAATGCCCTCCCACACCTCGCCTTTCACCGAGCCAACACCGAAGCAAAATCCTCACGGTGTATCCTCCCATGGAACGGCTCAGTACCTGAAGGATTGGAAAGCAGAAAACATTCAGATTCTTAGTGGGATTGGAAGATGCAAACTCGTTTAGCGATAAGAAATTATGGATATTGTAAGTTAAAGGATGTGCATCAGGCAGCACCTTCAAAAGCCCTTCTCATCAGCTTCTTAAAGTAGTTGTTTTTGTGTGATCTCACAGGCGAGTACCGGACAACCGGATTACCACCATGTAGATTGTACACATCGCCACCACACCATGTGTGCAAAATGCAGCATGCCCAATAGGCAGGTATATAAATCGCAACATACCCGAGTGGCAGGTGTATAAATTGCAACTTACCCGAGAGGCAGGTGTAGCGGACGCAGCCAAGGCTTCACATGTCGACCTCCCCCACATAGAGCCTCTCGCAGATGATCTCAGGCGCCATATACAAGAGCGACCCCACCACCCCACACTCCGCTGTCTGCCCACGCGCCAGCGTTGCTGCGAGCCCGAAATCCGCCACCCTCACTCGAATGCCCGTGCAGGGACAAGGTTGGTTTTTGGGTGCGGTGATGACTGGAGTGGGGGGAGGAGACGAGCAGAGAGGAGTGAGAGGAGGGGGAGTAGGTACAAGAGGAGGAGGTAAAACGGGGGGAAGGGAAGAGCTGGTCGGACTAGAGAGCTGGTCGGACTGGAAGAGCTGGTCGGACTGGAAGAGCTGGTCGGACTGGAAGAGCTGGTCGGGCCGGAACAGCTGGTCGGGCTGGAAGAGCTGGTCGGGCCGGAAGAGCTGGTCGGGCCGGAAGAGCTGGTCGGGCTGGAAGAGCTGGTCAGACTGGAAGAGCTGGTCGGACTGGAAGAGCTGGTCGAACTGGAAGAGCTGGTCGGACCGGAAGAGCTGGTCGGGCCGGAAGAGCTGGTCGGGCCGGAAGAGCTGGTCGGGCTGGAAGAGCTGGTCGGACTAGAAGAGCTGGTCGGACTGGAAGAGTTGGTCGGACTGGAAGAGCTGGTCGGATTGGAAGAGCTGGTCCGACTGGAGAGCTGGTCGGACTGGAAGAGCTGGTCGGACGGGAAGAGCTGGTCGGACTGGAAGAGCTGGTCGGACTGGAAGAGCTGGTGGGACTGGAAGAGCTGGTCGGGCCGGAAGAGCTGGTCGGGCTGGAAGAGCTGGTGGGACTGGAAGAGCTGGTCGGACGAGAAGAGCTGGTTGAGCCGGAAGAGCTGGTCGGGCCGGAAGAGTTGCTGGTCGAATTGGAAGAGCTGGTTGGACTGGAAGAGCTGGTCGGACTGGAAGAGCTGGTCGAACTAGAAGAGCTGGTGGGACTGGAAGAGCTGGTGGGACTGGAAGAGATGGTGGGACTGGAAGAGCTGGTCGGGCTAGAAGAGCTGGTCGGACTGGAAGAGCTGGTCGGACTGGAAGAGCTGGTTGGATTGGAAGACTGGAGAGCTGGTCGGACCGGAAGAGCTGGTCGGACTGGAAGAGCTGGTGTAACGCATCGCCCTCCTACCCTACGAGCAATCCTAGCTAAAGCGCTACCTAAGTAAGGTAGCGACTTACGGGAAGAAGAGGTTGGAGGAGATGAGTGGTGATTGGTCCACAATTGTGGACAACCACCCACTAAAAGACAAGCATGGTTGGGATCCAACCCAACCCCCACATTGGTTGGAATTCCAACCAATGGCAATGGAACATTGTTGTTACAAGTTACAACATGTAACAAAACCATCATTATCACAATTCTATTGCTCTCATTGGTTGCTAATCCAACCATTGTGCCACCTAAGCAAACTCACCCCTAGGAGCTCCTTGCCCTTGTTGCCATGGAGGAAGTGGAGCTCCCCAAGGAGGTCTAGGAGGGGTTTGAGCTAACCAAGCTCATTCTCAACTCCCAACTTCCAATTAACCAAAATGGAAATGTGATTTTTCTCCAAGTACAAGGCTTTTCCCTCACAAGTGCTCTAAGCTCCAACTACCCCTTTGGTGGAAGCTACTCCATCACTCTCCAAGCTTCAACTACCAAGTCTTCAACACTCAAGCTATCATAGGAGCTAGTTTACCTTGTGTGTATTTTATTGTTGGCGCTTTTATAAGCCTACTAGTGACCCTTTTGCGGGCATTCATTTATAAGCCCGTGTCTTCATTGTGATTTGAAGGGCGCTTTCATATAAGCCCGTGTTACAGCTGGTGGGACTGGAAGATCTGGTCGGACTGGAAGAGAGTGGCGAAGGTGGATGGGTGGATGATGTGTGACGATGTTTGTGAGACGTAGGCCCTTCGGAGCACTGCTTGCAGCATATTCGGTAGGTAGGTAACACAGAGTAACTGTGCAAACTGGGATTGCGAGAACCTGCAGCACCGAAATGTGGACTTGTTAGTGACGACTAAATCCCACGCCAGCCCGGCCTCTCACTCTCACCTCTCTATCACGATCCCCGCTTGTAATGGCGGCATCTACCCCGCGAATGTGACGAACCAAACGTGAGAGGGCACAAACCGCGCCCGCTTGCTTTCAACAGGAGAAACCCGCAACCTCGCAATCTCGAGAGTCGCCTCGCTGCATCGCCCCGCCTTCTTCGTGGCCTCGCCTTGCTTTTGCCGCGGTCCTGTCGCCTCCCCGCTTCCCCGCCTTTTCTCCCCTCGCGGCCTACCCTCTCGACTACACCTCGTCTCACCGTCGTTTCGCGATCTCCCATTCTCCGAATGGGAACGGCGGGCTCTCTAACCAAAAGGTGTGACCGAAATTGCAAAGGCGGGCCCCGTAGATCGGTTTTGTCGAATTGCAGATCTGCAATTAAAATTCTGGGGGCAGTTTGAGGAACATGCTGAGGAGGGGGGGGGGGGAGTTTTCGCCCTCGAGAGCCGCCTGGGTGGCAAGCGTGTGATACGGGAGAGGAGTGGTAGTGGGAGTGAAGAGCCAGGTCGCGACGAGCTAAAGGTGCGGCGCGGTGCTATGGGACGCGCGACGAGTGAATGCGGGCGCGGCAAGGGCGCTACGCATGACGCTCATCGCATCGCACGGAGGCTTTAGTGACGTTTATGGGTCTTTTACAAATTGCGATGAGGTTGTCACTGCATTCCGTTGAGGGGGAGTCCCCCTCGCGCCCAGAGGCTCAGGATTACACTCACCCGCTGCGAGTTTCCCAAAGCCGAATGAGGATATGCGTTTATGATTCCACCTTCGCTACTGCTATTGTGACAAATGCGCTTTATTGGGCTATTGTCGAGTTTAGCTGGGTGAGTCTATTGCGAAAGCCGAATGTCCAAAGCTAGTTCCTGCAAGATCTCCTGTATAGCGGGTTTCCGATCTGAAAATTTCGCAAACATTCTCATCGTTCCGGTTCGCACATGCGAAATTTGTTTGCCAACACATTTGGGGCTTTAACGTTTGTCGAGGACTTCACGAATCACGAGAGGCGCAGCGATGTCTCTTGGCGGGGAATCGCGTCAACGTCACAGCAAATACGACCCCATCGAAAGTTTTGTTTATGTTTCCAGGTGTTGGCGAAACCATCTATCAAGGGTGTTCGACAAGCACACTTTCTCTTGATGATCAAGATCAATCATCCATGCACTTTGATGATTGTCCACGTCATCCATCGCATCTTGACAAATTGGTACTGTACACATGATGCTCGTTTGACTAACCCAAGGTTGCCTAGTGAAGGGGGCTTGTAAGTGATTCTTTACAGTTCTCAAGCTTCGTCAATGTCGCAGCTAGCAAAGAAATGCTTATAAATTTCTCAAAGTGCACATGTTTGGATTCTCCCGCCTTTTGGGGCTGAAATCGCTTGGTCCGAGTGTTTTTCTTTCATTGGATCATGTGGCTGTGTGCGTTTGGACCTATTACCAAGCCAGCAAGAGCGTGGGAGGGTGGCAAGCATGATCGGTTATTGGTACTCGCGAATGAAAGATGCCTGCTGCATTTTCTGCACATGTGCAGACTCCTTTTGGGGATGAAATCGCTCGTTCCGATTTTTCTTCCGTTGGGTCACGTGCTGTATGCGTTTGGACCTATTACCAAGCCACCAGGAGTGTGGGAGGGTGGCGAGCATGATCGGTCATTGGTGCTCGCGAATAAAAGATTCGTGCTGCATTTTCTGCACATTTGCGGATTCTTCCGCGTTTTGAGGTTGAAAACATTCGTTTTGAGCGTTTTTGTTCAGTTTGCGGGATCGACCAGGACGGCAATGCGATGCTGGCGGTGGCGGCGATGGCGATGGAGCAAAATTGTCGATGTCGATCGTCGTGATTACAGTTTCGCCCGGGCGATAGGCGGCCCGGGCGAATGCCACGTGGACAACTGGGGGAGGCTGCGACTATGGCTGCTGCTGCGCTGTCATGGTGACGAGTCTACTTCGTTGTACAATTTATTTAGTGGGGAGTTGTCTCTAGTACCCAAAGCTACCTAAGGAAATTAGGGATTCCTATGGTGGGAGTTGTATCTAGTGCCTACGGACTAGGGAAAATAGGGCGAAGATTATGCTTGAGGACCCGTAAGCTCTCGGAACTTCTAGCCGATCGACCATGCGCGCGATCGATGTGCCCAGGATTTAGTGTTTTAGCGATACTGCCAGGTATCCTGTTTTCGCCAGTTATCGGCATTTTACAGAAACGTGGTCGTCACAAGGGTGTTACCTCTGGCTCGCGCGATCGATGTGCCCCCTGCCACAGATCGATCGCGCAATTGTCGCAATCGGGCAATTTTGCCCCATAAATTTTCGGGCGTGTCACGTGTAGCCCTGTGTGTCCAGGCGATCACAAATTTCCATGTGGGCACATGGTTGTGCCAAACGAACCTAGTAGGCTCGGAGCGAGCCCCTAAACACCCTCGAACCTGCCATTGTTCCTAGAGGTGACGCATCTTAAGAACTCACAACGTGCACAACGTTTCTTGCTCTGCTCGACATCGCAAGCGTAACAAATGCTTGGGCAAAATACTCCGTCACTTGCGAGGCTCCGCATCCCCCTCCCACTTCAACTACAGTTCGCTCTTCAAATGCCACAACAATCTCGTTTGCTGATGGACTCCTGTTGCGAGTGTCGTGCCCTGATGCTGGCGCAAGGAAAGTGGTTTGTTGGAATTATCATCACCAAAATTCCCCGTTGTGTAGTCATGGTTCTTCATTCAACTCCTGTTAGGGCGTGGAACATTTGGGCTTTTATTCTGAACGAACGTACGGTTCGGAAAATTACCGCTTTGAAACGTATTGAAACCTACTTGAACAAAGCGTTTGACAAATGGACCATTTTCAACCGTTCAGGCAGTACGGTTCGTTTGGAAATTTACCCAAATGTTCCACGCCCGTAGTGCCTCCCACAGTAGTAGTTCCCGTAGACTGAAGTCTAGCCCTTACCTTGACCGCGTCACGCAACCCACCCAGCATCACATTTGATACTTGCCAACGAAGTCGCAGATTAAGAACGTCGCGTCGCTAATACCGTATCCCATGACGCTCGTTTGGGCGGTAGTCTTGACGCTCCTCCTCCTTTGTTCGATCTCGCTCGTCGTCGTTCAGCTTCCCCAACAATGTTCGCTGTGCGACTGCAACTTAGCGCTGCAAATCATAGACGGAAGCAAAGACGGAGGCGGTATCACAGCTCAGTCATGCTCTGATTGGGCATCAACCAGCAAAGTCACTCCGATATTGCAAATTGACGGAGAATGCAGCTCGTTGCCGCAAGTCTGTAACAACCACGGCCCTTATAACAACGGGCAACCGTGTGTTAAATGAGGAATCCTCCTTGAAATTATATATAAAATCAAAATACAAGGCTTTCAAGAAATCATCAAGCCTTGACAATACGCTTGAAGCTTGAGAGGAGAAAGAGAACTTGAAGAGTTGATGAAGCTTTAGCAAGTAGGTAGGTAGCTTCTTGTAGAGCTTATCCTTGAAGAGACCACAACCTTATTTTTGTAGGAGAGTTTGTTAGACAGAGAGAAGACATAGAAGAAATCCCATTTCTAAGTTTGATTGTTGGAGTTGGGAAGTGGGAATGAGCTTGCAAGCTCCAACCCCTTCTACAATACCCCTTTGGGCTCTTCCCAACCACGGCTTCCATGGTTGGGGAGCTCATAGGCTTGGAGCCTAGGTGGCATATTTGTTTGGTTGGGAAAACCCAACTTAATTGTGTTGTATGGTTGCTAAATTCTTCGTATGGATTGTAACAACATTTGGCACATTGTGATTGGTTGGAAATCCAACCATTCAATCTTAACTTTGATGGGTTGGAATGTTTCCAAACCTCACCTTTCCTCTCCAACCCATCCTTCCCATCTCTCGTAGTTCAATTTTCTGTCGAGAGACTTCTCGACATTGACTACGAGAGACTCGTTCGGTGCCTTGGTAGGTCGCGCGTTACAAAGCTAGTCCCGAAGATGCGTGGGCGTTTACGATGGTATTAAGTCGTGGGCGTTTACGATGGTATTAAGTGATCCGAAGTTGATAATGACGCATGGCAGATAGAGTCGAAAGCCCTGATATCTTTACTTGAAACTCTGCGCTCCCTCGTTCCTCCGCGCGTTTCCCACTCCCTCTCGCACGCGTTCGAGTCAAGACCTGATCCTTCCAAGTAGTACCTCATGAAACCTATCTCAGCCTCTGATAATATCATGTTATCCTACACAGAATTATTCCATCTGGACATAGTAGCTACTAAGAGATTATGCATTCATGCGCAAACAATGTTGCTCAGCTGAGCATCTTCGGGATGATGCTTCTTCCCCGTCCCTTCCCTGCGCCTGCCGACACCCGCAATGCAGTGGACACCCCGCGTTTCCCCGTGTCATGTAGCGGGGCTACCTATGGAGGAGCTAGACGCGCACGTGAACTTCCGCCGCGGATGGACCCTGGGGTTCGTGGATGACGTGGAGGACAAGACGCAGATCCTTCCGTTCCTACGAGCTGCCATGGATCCCACCTTGCAAACAAGGTGCGTAATGCGTTCTAAGTTCGGTTACCGACAGACCTAAGAAATGCTGTGAGTCCGACGATTTACAGACCTTCCTTCTTCCCTATATCCGCTCCCCCTTTTTCCATCTCCGCACTCGCAGGATGCAGGTCTTGCAAATTTTTGTAATATACAAGAACCTGAACTTCTAGACAGAACGGTTCCGAGTAGCTTACTTCCGCAATCTGGTTGCGTATGTCTTGCGCATCTTGCTTGCTCTCGCAAACCAGTTGTGTCGATCATGATTAAAACAAAAGCCATGTGTGTGCGCCTCTGCCTTTTCTCGCCCTTATAATCTCCTGATTCGCAAAACGAGGTGGTTGCTAACAGATGTCAGAATCAATTAGTTAGGTTTGCCACCATTGTGTCGCCTGGGTTCTTTGAATGCACCTATTGCTTTCACCAAGTTACACGCGTAGTAGTTTCCCCCTTTGGCACACCCTTTTTCCCCTCTCGTTCCTTGAAATTCCGCGATTTCGCAGGAAGCGGAGGGTGCTTATAGACCTGGGAGCCAATAAGTTTGAGACAAGTGTCGCCTGGTTCCTTCGAATGTACCCCCCCGATTTCACCAAGATTCATGTGATGGAAGTGGAGACCGACCTGTTTCAGAAGCCATCTACACCGCCGGTTGAGGTGCATAAATTAATGCTAATACACACATCTTCGAAAAGAAATATGTAAACAAGAGTTGAGGGGGTTAGGAAGGAGAGGGTGCAGAGGCAGACGAGCACTAAGTGAAAATTCAAGCCGCCAACGAATTTCACACCAGCATGTCCCTAGCGCACATTGCTATTTCTAGCGTATGCACACAAGTATGGCCAGGTATTCGAGCTTGGCATGGAGAAAGGGAGGGAAAAGACGGGAGAGAAATGGGGGGGGTCGGGGGTCGCTGAGAGGGATGAGTTGCAGCAGCGTGACTATGGAGATTGCAGCTCCTTCATAGCTTGGAGTGAGTGGAGGGGTTGGGCTAGGAAGAGGGGGCTTTTTCTCACTTAGGCCCTTGAGCGGCAGTGAGGGGGAGAAGACAAAACATAACGTTGTCTGCTTACAGAAGAACGAAGTACGAATGAATCACGTCTCCTTGCTCCATTGTCTCTACGCCCCTTCCCCCCCTTCCGATTCTCCCCTCATTCTCCCCACCTGCCATAGTATGTTGTTTTCTTTCTTCCGTAATATGCCTCTTTATTTCAAAATAATTGAAGCTTCCAGGATCTCGCAGCCGTGGCACCATAACACCAGGATCATTAGCTCATGCCACACATACCCTTTCCCAGCCACTCGTTACTGTTTCTGTACCGCTCTGAACCGTTTCAGGTACTGGCCCATGAGATCAACTCGCGATCGCGCCTGCGTCCGTTTCGCAGCGGCCCTGCAGGCTTCCCTGCATGGCTGATGGACCGTGTTCACCCCTACAACTTCTTCATCTCTTCCCAAGAGAACCAAGAAGAGGTAACAACATTGTTACACCTGAAAATAAAAAAGGTAACAACCTGTATTGACAGTGTGAATATAGAAGGCACCTCAGTTGAGCCCTGGAAGAGCCTTTCTCTACAGTGCCGTAGGTGCCACTGGTGCAATAGGTTCCATAGGTGTGACTTGTTATAGGTGCAGCCATAGGTGTGCCATGGGTGCCATGGGTACCATAGGGGTGTCATGGGTGCCATGGGTTCCATGGGTGCCACGGGTGTGACCTGCTATAGTTAGAGCTTGATTATCTCCCCTCTCCACGTCTGCCCACCTCCCTCCCTAGAGGGGTTTTGATACGCCTCAAAGCTGGATTTGATTTTCTTACCCCTCTCCATTCTTCCCCGCTTCCCCCATTCCTCCCTACTCTTGTTCCATCTTTATCCCTTCCCTCCCATCCCTGCCTTTCTTTCCTTCTCCCCCTTTCTCCCCCCCCCCCCCTCCCTTCCTCCTTCCTTTCTCCTCCATTCCTAACTCCTCATTCTCTTCCCCTTTCCGAACTACTCGTTTTCCTCCCCTCCTAACTCTTCCTTTCCTCCGAACTACTCCCTTTCCTTTTCCCCCACTTCCGAACGTCTCCTTTTCCTCCCCCCTCCGTAACCCCTCCCTCTTCTTTCCCCCCTCTTTTCCTCGACCCCCTCCATTTCCTCTTCATCTCCCCTCCCCTTTTTCCCCCAACCCCCTCTCCTTTCCTCCCCCTATCTCTATTTTTTCTTCCCTCCTTTTCCCCCCTCACCCTTTCCTTACCCCATTACCCTCCCTCTATCGTTCCTCACTCCTTTCCCTTCCTTTCCTCTCCATCATTGCCCCCGGTTGGCTTGCCATCTCTCCTCTCATTTCCTCTTACACTCAAGTGGACGTGACCAGGCGGGCACTGCAGCGAAGGGAGGAGCACATGGAGAGGGTTGTGAGGTGTCCCAAAACCTTACACCTCTTCCTGCCTTCCTCAGCCAAGGGAGGAGCACATGGAGAGGATTTGTGAAGTGTCTCAAAACCTTAAACCTCTTCTTGCCTTCCTCAGCCAAGGGAGGAGCACATGGAGAGGATAAGTGAAGTGTCTCAAAACCTTAAACCTCTTCCTGCCTTCCTCAGCCAAGGGAGGAGCACATGGAGAGGATTTGTGAAGTGTCTCAAAACCTTAAACCTCTTCCTGCCTTCCTCAGCCAAGGGAGGAGCACATGGAGAGGATTTGTGAAGTGTCTCAAAACCTTAAACCTCTTCCTGCCTTCCTCAGCCAAGGGAGGAGCACATGGAGAGGATTTGTGAAGTGTCTCAAAACCTTAAACCTCTTCCTGCCTTCCTCAGCCAAGGGAGGAGCACATGGGCAACCTCTCCCTCCACCCTCTCTCCCTCCTCCCTCTCTCCCCTCCCTCTCTCCCTCCTCCCTCCCTCCTCCCTCCCTCTCCTCTCTCCCCTCTCTCTCTCTCCCTCCTCCCTCTCTCCCTCTTCCCTTTCTCCCTCCTCCCTCTCTAACTCCTCCCTCTCTCCCTCCTCCCTCCCTCCCTCCTCCCTCTCTCCCTCCTCCCTCTCTCCCTCCTCCCTCCCTCCCTCCTCCCTCCCTCCCTCCCTCCTCCCTCTCTCCCTCCTCCCTCTCTCCCTACTCCCTCTCTCCCTCCTCCCTCCCTCCCTCATCCCTCTCTCCCTCCTCCCACTCTCCCTCCTCCCTCTCTCCCTTATCTCTCTCTCTCCCTCCTCCCAGAGCCCACTGTTTGTGACTAACTGAGACAAACAGAGGGAGCGGTGGATGGGTTCTTTCATTCCCTTCCTCTGCCTACTTTCCTTTTCCCATCTTCCTCCATCTCCCCCTCCCCCATCCTCCTCTCTCTCACTCAGATTACAGTGAATATGAACCAGTGGTTGCTTTTGAGTCGATTCAAAAACATTGAACGTGACCTGATGGCTGCTGGAGAAGCTGCTGGACTCAATGGCTGGTGAATTCAGATACGAATGCTTTCTCATTACCCATCCTACTGCTCCTCCCCCCTCACCCCCTCTTGCCCCCCAACCCTGCCTCAGATCATGGTGAACGTGGAGCGGTGGCTGCTGGATGAGCTGCAGCTGAGGGAGGAGGATGCAGTGGTGGTGAAGATGGACATAGAGGGGGGTAGTGCTGCAGGAGAAGCCCCTCCTCAATAACCCCCTTCCCCCCATCCGTCCCCCACTCTCTCCTCTCCAGAACGTGGTGAACGTTACTCGGTGGTTACTAGCTGGGCTGCAGCTAACAGAGGAGGACGCAGTGGTAGTGAAGATGGACATAGAGGGGATAGAGTGGGCGGTGCTGCACGAGTGGCTGGCAATCTCGCATATGAGCGCCATCGTGGATGAGCTGTTTGTGGAGGTGCACTACCACCACCCCTCCATGGAGGGTTTCACATGGAGGGATAGGTTCAACCACACGCTGGACGACACGACACAGTTATTGACCAACTTGAGAAGAGTCGGGTTCTACATTCACCCGTGGCCGTAGATGAGGTTTGTCGCCCAACCTTGGCCGTTGATGGACGCCGAGTGAATAGAGCAGTAGTCGATAGGGAGGTCACTGATGTGGAGGTTCAAGAGGTAGTGGATAGGGGTGCATGGTGGATAGTTGGGCAACAGATGATAGTCATCAGCGTTTTTATTCATATCTTGTCAGTATTTCCAACCTTGTCTGTGAGTCTGTATCAGCTCGAAGGGCATTGTCCTCTATTACGGGTGCAATGGAACGAGATAACAAGGATTGTACTAGGTGTCAAACGAGTACCAAGTATGAGAAAAGGCATAAGCGAATACTAATACGTGAAATATGCAAACAGTAACGCGGTGCGTGCGAGCTAGCTAGTGCTAGGCTGGCATCGAGGTTTGGGCTAGTCCCGAAGCGTAGGCCGACTCGGACAGGCCAGCGGTGCATGGTTTGGTGAAACAGTGCGCGCAAATTTGGCTAAGCCCCGTTAGCAGTAACGGGCGAACAACGACTACTGCTGTACGCGATGTTGAAGAATGCAGTAAGGAATGCGGAAAAAATCCTTCCCCCCCCCCCCCCCCCCCCCCCCCCCCCCCTCAAGAAGCCCCCTCCGCTACGCGAGTGCGTGTATATCGCGGAATCCCCGGCTCCTCAGGTACACTTGCAGGGCAGGGTGGTTTTCGATGCTGGCCCGGGGCACCCAGCAAGGCCTACTTTTGGATATTGGGTACTCGGATTTCCAGAGTGGTTTTTTGCCAACTGTGAAATCTAATGGTTGTTCTTACGCCTTATTCTGAGGTGTCACGGTAACCCAACGTTTTGGGAAAAAAACCCAGGCACGTCAGAGTAATAATTTGCTGTACTCTGATGTTACTTTACTAAGCTGTATTATGAACTGTATATGGGTGTTTTGTTAGACTTTTGTAAAAGCAAGAACTTAGGTTTCTTTTTCCCAAATGGTTTCAGGGAGGGTAGTCTTAAAATATACTTATAGCAGTCTCATAATTGAATACACTAACTAAATACCTAACTAGTTAAAGCTTAGGCCCTTAGGGTACACTTCTTTCTACTCATTTTCGCCCTCCTCCGAATCAGACTACACATTCTCCTTCCCCTTTTCGCTAACTGGTAGGGCATGCGCTGGTTTCTTGGCGGGGCGACGCTTCTTCTGCTTGCACCAGATGTCAACGACTTCATGCCACACGAAGTCGTACTTGAGCATGTGGATGCTCATCAGCTCTGTAAGACGGGCGCCATTGAGTGACGTGCGCCCCCAGCTCTTGATGTTGTTTTGCCTGCTGAAGCCACGTTCACACTCAACAATGCTCAGTGGAAGCACTGCCAATGCCTGCCACATCAGCATCAAGTTGGGATACGTGCAAGGCCAGTCGCGCGTCTTCAGCATGTTCTGGAGCCCTTGATGGAAATCCTCTTCCTCGTGGTGGTTCTTGAGAATGTGACAAAAGGTCTTCAACTCGAGCTCAGCTGCCCGCAAATCAAAAACTGCATGCGGCAAAACAGGGGATTTGTAAAGTTTTAAGAAACACAGGCAGTACAACCAAAACAACTGTCATGCTCAAACACACAAGAGCAACACCTAGTAAATGTGGTGCTTATCCTCACCGGGCAGACAGTTGTTGAATAGGGTTGCATTTTCCCGTATCCACGTGACACAGTGCCTCTCGCACGTTTCTAGCTTGGGGGGGCACGATTCCACCTTGTACAGCCTCGTGCCGCCCATGCGACGAAGATCCGCCATCCACTTGCTCAGATTTGGACGGTGGTTTTGGCGAATGCCTTGCACAGATTCTCGCAGTCGTGCATGGTGCCGCCGAACTTGTGGCCAGCAATGGGCTCCTCGCTGAGCATGATCTCGTGGCGAACTAAGCAGCAGCTTGAGTCCACGCCCTCCACCTTTATCTTACGGTTGCCGTCCTTGTGTCGCTTCAGGAAAGGCGACAGCTGTGGGCTCAGCCCCTCCCCGAACTTGTTGTCGTTGTCGATATAGCGGTGTTGTATGTACGACACCGTGGGATCCACCTCCTGCGTGACGATGGTGACGTCCACCTGGGGGGGTTGTTGAATACAATCAAACATGTTCAAATCAAATTACACTGTCAACATACAAGTTAACCCTCTCACAAAAGCGTAACATAGAGATGCCATTTGAAAAATATATATATATAAAAACATACCTTGCGCCTTTAAAAACACCGGTTCAAAGATTTGAGATTAGCCAAGATGTCTGCTAGAAAAGAAAGGCAGAAGTGAAACTTGAAGGTCTGCACAATGCGGGCGATCGTGTGCCTGTACTCGATGAAGATGCATATTGCCGCCCCCAGGATCCTACACATGCACAGCACTGCGTCGCCCCGTGACAGCCACCGCACGTTGAAGAGTCCCTCATGCTCCAAGTTGGTGTTGTCGTACGCCAGCTGCAACTCCTTGAAGCGCTCGTACCAGGGACTTGATTTCCCGACAATCGCACCAAGGGGCCTAATGGCATCGTCCACGATGTTGAAGTCAGGAAATGCCTCTGCAGCCTCTTTTACCGCTAGTGCTTCTCTGCACGGTGTGGAATAGATGGGATGCAAGAAAAGTGAAAAGGTATATTTACCACTGATCACATACACAGTGTAGTATCATTATATACGGTCCAGAATGAACATAAGAAAAAAAGGAATAATTACTCACCGGTGAGCGATGCAGTGGCACCCGACGAGATGAGGGATTTGCATGCGAAGGCGCGTCACAAGCCGTGTTGGCGATCCAACCATGACGGAGGCACCGTCGGTGGAGATCCCTACGATTTTCTTGAGTCGATGCCGATGCTCTCCAAATGCTGGAGCAGAACTGCAAGCAGTGAAGCCGCGTCACCCTGGATGACGGTAAGTAATGACAGGAACTCCATTACCACCACGTGGTTCTTCAGGAACGTGACAAACACAATCATGTGTTTGCCAATGAATGGAGAGGCGTGCAGGTGTCGCATCTGCTTGCGGTGCAGGAAAGTGGCGATTGCCTTCACCATTTCCGCAAGAACGTACCTGTCCAGCAACAACAAAAAACTGTCAGTGAATATCAGAAGAAATATATTATGTTGAGAATAAATTCTTACATCAACAGGAACTCCCTGTGTGATGTACACGCCGTATTACTGTCACGGTATGTCAGCGACCCCCTCCTCCACAAGGAACTGGACCAGCCGTGGGTACATCTGTATCGGAGTGTCCGTCTTGCACACAAAGACGATGGACCACATCAGCCACAAAATCCGCGTGCCCTCTGGATCGCCCTTCGCAAAGTCATCGATGCACTTCTGCTTCTCGATCTTCTACATAAGGCCCATTTGCTTCTTCATGGCATCGTCTTGCTTCACGCTCTCCTCGTGTCAGTGAAAGGAGCCAATCTGGAGGTCCCGACCTCCTTTCCCATTGTGGCAGTAGCGGGTATCGTCCTTCCCATGCTCTATGCAGACACTGCAATGAACACATGGAAAACCGTTAGTGGTTTTATCTAGAATCAACCATGGGAACCGATGTAGCCAATCCGACATGTAACTCTTCTGAGCCTTCAAATACAACTTCTCCTTCTCCTCTGCTGTGAGTCGGATAACAGGTGGTGGTTTTCTTGCGGGGGCCGGCGGAGTCGGTGCAGGCTTCACGGGCTGCAGTCCAAACCCGTGCACAGATTGCGTGAAGCGTCGCTTCTTCTACGTCTTTGAGGTGGTCGAATTGGGTGTGGGTGCATCAATGGCCTTTGTTGGTACGGTCGCGGTCGGTTCAGCAATGTCAGGGCGGTGCGATCCATCGCAATCCTCGTTCCCTACAAAGTGATCGTTATCTTCCCGGCGTGGTGAACGCACCCACACCCGGACCCCATCGGAATGCTCATCGTCATCTAGACCATCCCGACGACACCATTTGCCGCCTCCCCATTCGTCGCTTGCATCAAAATGTTGCTCGACTTCATGCTCGTGGAAACGATGTACCCCGCTCAAAAACTCCAAAACCGTCATAGGGCGAGAGCTGCATGACGGGCCGGGGTCAGGTTCAGGCGCAACAGCGGCAGCGTTGTCTGCGTCGTTAGGCATCTCTGGCAAGGCTGCAGGAAGGGGGTGGGGCGAGGCGTGGTTGTGATGCTGAGGGCGGATTGGGGAAATGGGTGGAGAAACTGAGGTTTACCCCCCGTGAGCCAGCTGAGCACCAGCAGGCCTTGGCCGCGTCGCCCACGTTTTCACCTTCCGTGCGTTGTATCAGAGAAATAGAGTAA